CATTACGTTCCAGTCGAGATATCGATCCACTTTCGTATCTCACCCTCGATCGAATAGCGTTCCAAAAATTTCTCTCCGCTTTTCGGTACTCCATCGAGAACTATCGTAATTGCGAGTTTCATAGGTTAATGTACCGTTCCTAGGATCGATAGTGGATCGAGCCGCTTTTCTATCGGTCCGCGGCATATTACTGTTTGTTTATTTTAAGTCCCAGGCGTATCTTGTTTCGGAACCAGACCCAGCTGACCGCAGTCTGGCATCGTTTTCTCGTTTTATTCTCTTGCGTTACGCGTCGACCTGGTGTCGGTCGGTGGCGCGAATTCAGCGAGAAAAATTAGCTCCGCGTCACGGATGCACGCGCAATTTTCAAAACGATCGATGCTATTTTTCGTACAATCGAAAGGCTCAAAGGACTAAGTTCAACTCATCTTCACTGCTAATCCAATTTCGCTGACAACCCTAACAGACACAATTTCGAAAGTTCGACAATGTTCGAAGGTAGTTTTCATTCAACTGACGGAAATTTTTTTTTCCTTTTTTTTTTTCAGGTGGGATTAAAACGATGCGAGAAGATATATGAACGAATTCAGCAACAGGTAGCTGTAACATTAATCAAGTAATTGCAGTTCTAAGAAAGACGAGCGTGAAAACAGTGGTCTCTGATATTTTCAAGGGAAGCGATTTTGGCGCGTCGCGACGCTTCGCGCTACTAGCCTTGCATCGAAATCCCCGGCCACCTTCAACACCAGGTAAAAAAAAGAAACGGTGCATCTGCGTGTCCAGGTCACAAACTTCTCCAGCGGATAATCAATTCAATGCTAGATAAACTTCGCGTTACTTAGAACTTTATTTAAAACACAATTTTGAATATTAAGAATAACCTGTGCCTTTAATTGCAGGGGTAAAAATTGCGAGAAGAAAAAAGATGAACACCACAGAAGAACACCATGGAAATTGTTCCACAAATAAATCCACAAACTGCAGACGCGTTAAAGCATCTTTACCTGTTCCCGAAGCTGACAATATCCCCAAGGATGCTCCTCGCGCGAAACTCTCCGGAAGAACGACGCAATAATGTAGCTACGTACCACCATTAACACCAGAACACGCACTGGACGAACAGATCTCCGGTGAAACTGACGTGAACTCTTAAAATCGAGGCTTGAACACGGGATCACGCACTGGAGGCAGCCCCATGGAATCTATAGGGTGTCCCTCCGCCGGGTCTCACCATCATCACTGACCCCCCAGAAATCGTCATTTATGAGCGTATATAGACTGAGGGAATGAGTCGAGAGACTGTAAGACACGCGAGAAAACAGCGTCGAAGGAGCCATGGTTCGCAACGAGCATGAGACTCTGGACACGACTGATCGAGTGACCGAGGGGGTAGCATTGTAAGAATACCCCTCCTCGTGCGCTTGTATAGAATTACGTGTGTTGATCGCGCATACAGTTCTCTCCGTCCCCTTGGCGCGCGGCAAAAGGGAGCACGAAGGGAGAAGAGTGGCTCTCCGTGCTCCCTTCCCCTCTCTTGGCCGTGTAGGCGCCTTTCACCGCGCGTATACCCACCCCTGCGTGCCCCTACCCCCTTGGCCGTGTCGTCGGTTCCCTACGAGGCGTCTCTCTCGCGTGCGTGAATCATGCATATCGATTTTCTTTCGTTAGTCGTGCGTTCGTTCGGTTGCTTGCCCGGCCATCTACGCCCCTGACGATTCCCCTCTTCTTTGAAAGAGCGAGAGAGTGAGCCCGGGGGCCGCTCTGGAACCCCTTCTGTGCGCACGCCAGACGCGCCACCGACGATTCTTTCAGGCCACAATGGATACTGGAGGCTCGTTTCCGTCCCTGGAAGGCTGACTCTGATCGTTTTTGGGTGCCTGAGTGGAACCAGGAAGAGAAACTCGAGGGAAAAGGTATCAGGATATGGAGATACCTGGATAACAGAGGATTGGATGAACTGTTAAATCGTTAGGGCAATCTAAGTAATTCTTATAGGGTACAATTGGATGTTGACGTTATTTCTAGCTGTTCTGCTATATTTTAGTGAATGTGAAAGGAGCAAGAAAGAAGACTGGAGGGAAAAAAGCGAGGAGGTGTTGTTGACTTGATCTTGGGGGGGTTGGAAGACTCTCAGGACCCTACAAATATTTCTACAGGCATTTAGCACCGCTGTAATTGAATTTAAAAGAAAGAAACTCGTGTTAGTAAGTGGAGGTTATGATCTGGCTGAAAATTCCTCAGTTAGATGATTTTTAAGACTCCAGGTCTTCAGGAGTAGCCCTGAGAGGCCAAGACCCTTTCATAAAATATTTATTCACAGTTATTTGATAATATTAAGAACCAAGAAACAAAATCTCGTGTTAAAACATGAAAATTTCTAAATAGATATATACTGAGAATCTTCCTGATGGTAAAAGTAGCCTACAGAAATATTTATTTTTAGGTAGAAAGGAGACTGGAAGATGAGGAGCCTGATGACTTGTTTCAGAGGACGACGAAGGAAGGAAGTTTGTATGTGATCCCAGTCTGGTCCTGGCCCCCCTCCATAGTTGCTGAAAGCCCTCAGAGAGCCCCCCTCTCTATTGCCAGAACAAAATTCCCCGTATGACGCGAACGACGATGAGACGATGCTCTTGTACCAAGGTCCCTCTCTTTTCTCCTAATGCACTCCCCCTAATCTCGCAGCAGCAAGCTCCTCGAGCCTCTACTAATAAACTTTCTTTGTTTTTGCTCAGTGGTCGTGTTCCCCGCTATTATTAGCGGTCACGGTTAATCGATTCGTGGTAATTAACTGTTTTCTTTGTCGCGGCTTCACTTGAAATAGGAGCCTCGGGTAATACACGTGATTTTTAATCCAACTTCGACCATGAAGATTCAGATATTTCCGGCTCAGAGGAGCGTTACGATACCATAAATCCTATTGCTTCGTCTTTTCTTTGATCTTGCACGAAAAACATACGTGATTTTCAAATGTTTTCAAAAAATGTTTTCTTTTTAAACGTAATAGAAGTGAATCTCGTGGCTCATCCATCGAAGGGTTGAGATTGGAGATGGAACAAGGGTAGAGTGAATGGTATCGATTTATAAACAATTCCTTTAATAATAAGTAAACGGTGACAGATATGGCGCTTCAACACGATAGAAATAACGTTTATGTATTATATATACAATTGTATGACATTTACAATAATTTTACACTCGAGCGACAGCATGTCGTCGACGATAGTGGAGGTGGGAGGGTCGATTAAATTAAATTATTATTACAAACTTATAGCTTCTCGAAGAAATTCTCCAAAGTGGTTCGAAATAAATAAATATTCTACGTATCTCTCAGTGAAATGGCACGATACACTGAAAATTCTTATTTTTTTCCCTTTTTTTTTCTTCTTTTTTGGGGCCATATTAAGTATATGTTTTCGCGACGGTGTGTACAACACGGCTGTCTGGGCTAATAGCGTGTATACCGTCGCAAAAAAGTTGGTCTTCTACTGTTGATACGCACACGTGTAAAAAGTATGTGTTCTCTCTCCCATTTCTCATTCATTGTGAAGTACATCGTTTAAAATGCCAACTGGAATGCGTAATGTCTCCTTAAATATGTAACCTACTTAAATATACCGAAGAAAAGTCGCTGAGTTCTCTACTCTGAGACTGAACTCTCGATTAAGGTGCTCGAATTAATCGTGTAATTCGTTTAATTATTATTATTATTTTGGCCACTGGATTACTGCGATACTTACTCCTTACTCTTTAATCGAATATACAATATTAATTAGAAATATCGAGATTACGTTTAGAAAGCTTCTTTTGTTTTTCTTTGTATAACTTTCATTTTGTTCCCAGTTTTTGAAAAACAATTTTCCCTCTCCCTTGTTGCTTATTTGTTTTTATTGCAATGAGATTGGCTGCTCGCCAGCAACGAGCGTCGTATAGGTTATTCCTACGCTTGAGCATCGATCAGAATACTTGTTTTTGTATATTACAATTCAGCTAGACATAAATAACTTTCCCTGAAGACTATCTACTCGTTATCAAGTCTCCTCATCTTGGTTATAGTCTGTGAGACATCACTTGCTCGCTCGCCCCTACCACTTCAGCACCTTGTTCAAGCTTTTTAAAACAGACTATAATCGATCGGAAAACCCATGAACGTTTCTAATTCAAATTTTAAAGTTTCTGCATAGTGTTTCTTTGCTGCAACCTCGGTGAAACCAAATAAAGCTTCCTGAAAATATCGGCCAGGTTGTTTTGAGGGAACAGAGTTTCTATGATGCCCTCTAGAAGCACGTACAGAAGTCTTCTGTTAAGTACAGGTCGCTGAAACAGCTCGAACACTCTCAAAAGACCTCTTCTAGTGGTCTCACTACCTATGATATGTTTCAGTTCATCTGATAGGCAAGATAAAAGGGCAACCTTAGCTGCCACTCTGGTCCTGTTCTTCATCTCTGTGTCCCTGGGTGGTTTTTTCTCTGCTTTGACCCCGTTCGGCCAAAAACTGTTCCTATAAGACCAAACAATTACTTACAAAACCATATTTTGAGTAACTGCTTGTAACAAATTTATTTGTTTACTCACTTGAGTAGTTTCAAATAACCAGCAACTCTAGCTGGACTGGTTAAGAGGGACACATACTCGACTATTCTGCGGTTCACTATGTCCCCAAACATGGTACGAATGATTTGCCTCAATAGTGTAATGATCCTCCGTCTGAGCCACTGGTTTCTGACTTTCAGATCGAAGATCTCGTCCATTAAAAGCAGCATTATGCGGAGAGGAATGTTATCGTCGGTCTAAATGAAAAGGAAACTTGAATTACATGAACTGAATTTCATTACAAATTAATTGAAAAGAAATCTGCGATATATACCTCTACGTCTAGACCAGCGCCAACTTTGGTGTTTTCATAGAAGGCATTGGGTTTCTTTGGATTGCCAAAGAACTTGCTTATATTATCCATAACACCATCAACTGTGTTCAGCATATTATCCGGCATGGTTTTCACAGCTTGAGTCACCGTTTTCATAGAAGTCTTCAGAGGGTTCATCAGAGTGTCTATCTGTATTAAAGAGGATTGAATATCTTCTATAATCTTCTTACACATGGGCACACAAAATCTAATTCCTGATTATTTCACTTACCGTTTTAGATATCTGTCCGCCAGTCACACCTTTGTCATAATCCCCCTGTTCCAAAAAAGTCAATAGTAAATTCTGCAAACCCATGTGTCCGTCCACCACAGCTGGTTTGCTCAATTGATATAACCAGGCGTTCAACATTAGCATTCTCCTTTCCAACACGGTCCTCTCCATATTGTGAAACGCTTTTTTCGCTGGGAAGGGAATTTTCGCTAGATCGTAGTACTTCTCCTTGATCTTCTGATAAAGATTATAAAAATCGGAGTATCTCCTGTAAATGTGCCATTTTTCCTGATAACCCGAGTCGTAGCTTTTGGTTACAGCCACTGCATAAATCCCATAAGTTTTCCCACGGTCGTTAACTATACCAGTCTCTATAATTTTTGCAGTGATTTCGAATCTTCCCTGCTGTAGCTTCTTAATGGCATTCTGGTCATAAATATTTTCGTCCAGTTTGACAAACTGCTCCGCGTTTGACTCTAAATAGAAAGATATATCCTTGCCTTCGCTGATGTGATCTGTGTCAATACTTGAACCCTTCCTCATGCTCTTCATGGTCCTAAAATTCATCTCAGAGTCAGGCTCGTCGATTGGTTTACCCGCATTAGGCTCCACGATGCTAGCTAAACTGTTGGAGGAGCTAGACTTTAATGTACTGTCCTTTAATTCCGCAACCTTTATTTCTTCAGGCTTATAAACTTCAGACATCTCGTCGAGAGTCTCCAGTTCGTTATTGGTGCTAGATAGACTGATACTGTCTAAGGATTTTGTATCCTCTTCAGACGCAGGGTCCTTTAAAAGATCTAACTCAGCGAGGAGCTTCACATATGCCATGGATCTCTTGAATCCTGGCAAAAATCGATCCTCGTTTTGCAATTTCTCGTAACAACAAACCCTAAGGTCGTCAAACCACGTTTCTCTCACCGGTTCAGTCTTTATCCTGGTCAACATAGTCTTTACCAAAACATCGTCTAATTGTAGCTTAGGTGATGCTTTATCACTGAGGTATTGCTGATAAATCTTAGTAGCTGCTTCCTTTAGATTCTCCAGATCTGTGTTTTTACGCTTTGCGCCCATGATGCTGGAAGCTGTCTGAGCCGCGTGTAGTTTCTGCAACTCTATATCAGATATTTGTTGCTCAGCTGACACCCTCCAACCGTATATGTTCAAGTAGAAGAACAAGTACGACTCCGCGTTTATGGAGGTCATGTAGTCGATGAAGTAACTTAACGCAATATTGTTTTTTAGTAGTTCGTCTAGGGGTAAATTCACTAATTTTTGACCGGGTATCAGCAGCCTGTTCCAATCAGGCTGAGTACCGATCCCGTCAGTCTCTGATTCTAGTCCTTCCTGCATTCCAATGATCCTCGTTTCTAGAATCTTCTTCACATAGAGTAGACTATTCAATTGCTGTTTTACCGACAGATCGTCCTCTCCACCTGAATCCTTGGAACGAAGATGAGCTATCTCTTTACAAACTATGTTTTTCGTCGCTGTTAACTCGTCCAGACTATCCGTGACTCTGATCACCGTTAAGAACACGTCGCTGGGCAAGCCACCTTCCTTAGCGCACTGAAACAGAGTAAGTTATGAGAAACAAGGCCAATGCCTGGCATTTTATGATGAACTCACCAGCCATATACATGCCTGATTAATATAATCAGGGTCAGAGAATAAATCCAACAACGGTCTAATTATCACGTTTACTAACAGCTCCCTTAAAATAAATCTCACAGTCAGGCAATCGAAGTCTCCCTTTGGTAGCACTAGATACAACAAGATCTCCGATATCTCGCCGAGGAATTCCAATTCCTGGTTGCTGTTTGTGCACACCAGGTCTCTGCAGATGAGGTTGTTCTCCATCTGCATCTCCAGGTCGAAAAATATCTTCTCCAACGACTCCTCTTCCTTCTCATCGTTGCTTTCGATGGGTTCGGTGAGGGACGTTAGATTGGGAATGTAGAACTTGGACTGGGAATACCAGAACACGTCTGTCTCACTTTTATTTCTTCTGTGAGTGGGCGTTTTCTTGGGCGTTCCACTTGAGGTGCTCGAACTGGCGCTACCTTTTTGCAATTTCTTGGTTCTCAACTGCTTTATCCTGGCTCTTGCTTGGCGATATAACCTCACGTGGGACGCTGCATCGTCCACTAGGCGTGTGGTCAAATATGGTATCCAGTCCACACCTTTCACTCTGTTGAAAAGGACATTTTCTTGGAGAAAAATAAACCTAATATAAGTAGCTTAATCAATGGTATTGATGATACACACCGATTTGCTATGTTGATGGCTATCTTCTGGGCAGTATCTCTGACAGAGTATATGAATTCCTCGTCATCTGTAATAATGCTGTACCATGGTTCCACGTAATCTCTGATAATGAAATCTAATATTTCCTATATAGTAAATGGTTAGGTTATTCTGGATGTCTGACATATAAGAATAAAAGTAGTGTAATTGTTAAATGGTCTATGTACTTGCAGGGACTCGTCAATAATACGGCTACCAGTGATTCTTTTATCTAAAGTGAAACTCAGCTTTTGCTTGGATAGGTCTAGAATATGCTGTAACAGTCAATGAAATCATTGTTAAGTTGAGAAAACTGATTGAGTAGCACTTAATAATGTCTAATTACCTGCCGAAACTTTTCAGTCTTCTTGTGTAAATCTTCCCTTTCTGATTTGATAACATTGTCAAGATTTGCCCCATATGTTCTATATACACATGTGATTGTTCTACAAGAATATAAATTAAAGCATTTCAGATTCAAGTACCAGGGGTCACTATGCACCTTACCCTAAAATTAAGGCCAACAGGCAGATGAACAGTTTTACAATGGTTCCAATTCCAACAAGGTACACGAATAGAGCCGTTGCAACTCCAAGAAGTCCATATAGTGGAACATTCATCTGCAAAAGATGAAACAAAGTTGGTTACATGATAACCAATGACAAAGAACAAGGTGGCAGCTTATTGTGACAAACTGTGCAACAACTACTCCTGTTTCAGATAATATCCAAGAAAAATATACATTACTGGAAATTTCCTATTCAATGATGTTCTTTATCAATGAAGCACAATCCCCTGCTCGCATTATCACGAGTTTGGACACTTAGGGAGAAGCACACTGAACATTTTGACATTATAACTCATGGAATTTACACAACACAGATACCATATAGGTGTATGATGCTCGGCAACTGTCACATTGACAAGTAGACGAAAAACGGAAGTCCAAAACCGAGTTTATGCACACATGGATAAGTCAGAGTGACAGAAAAAGGAAGAAAATGTGGAAATTATAAAAATTTGAAATCAGTGAGAACATGATCGGCCAGTGCGTACTCAGTAAGGAATTTGCGCACATTAAAGGGGAAATAAACGTCCATGAGACAATATGTATCCGTCTGCTACGGCTAAGTCAATCGTTGCATGCGCGCGCGCGCGCGCCACCACGATATTTCGCAGCACCCACCTTTGGATAAACGGCTGTACATACAGCTACGCACATATTGCGTTTCTCGTACGATACATCGCACGAAACTGGTCAGCTAATCAACAGTTCGTTTACATCTTTACATGCGAACATTAATCCAGCGTATACGTCCGACGACATATCTCTGGTTAATTCAACGTGCGGATGCTAGAGGCGCTTCGCGCGCCAACTTTATGCACAGCACGTATCCGTTTGATCCTCTTCCATGTGTGCTGCAATTTCGAGCGGCTGGTATTCCTCTTCAAATATTTATTTATGCGAATTTATTCGAATATTTCAGCTTGTCACCTGACTGGCTGAAAAAATCGAATTTTTTTTGCTAAATCTATAGTTTACATTTTTTTAAATATAAGCCAAATAGTTTTAATGAAAAATTTCGGTGGTTTTATGCCATTAGAACATAATCGACACTTCAAATGCATTTTTCGAAGAACAGCATTTTTAAGGCCGATATTGTCCATAACTTTTACAATTCTCATCCTAATCATTTGAAATTTTCACAAAATACTCCCTGTTATATAATCTAAAGAAGTACACAGGATTTTTGCAATATATTGAAAACTTTTCCTGCAATTAACATTTTTAAACTAAAATGTAGAAAAAAAAATTCCGAAAGCAAACTATCGACTTCAAACATATTTCTACAGGGAAGACTATAAAAAGAGAAGAGACAACCAAGAACACAAAATGTCATAAACATTACTCAAATCCTTGCACCTCTGCGTCGGGCATGGTCTTGGGTCATTCAAACCCTAATAACTCTGACAATTTCAAAAAATCATTTAACATACATATTCTCCAGGCTATAAAGAGTGAAAAAGTACAAAAAAAAGGATATCGATTTTTTTACCCCGAAAATTAGAATACCCTCCCTGCAGATTTGGGGGTGGGAAGTGGAGGGGATTATAAGAAAAATATAATTCTTTTCAAAAATATACAAGACTGAAATTAGATGAATGGAATTTTTCTTCTGCTAAAGAACTTGATTTTTTGTTATAGCTAATAGTTTTAGACTTATCTTATTAGAGAAATGTTGGCCAATATTTCATCAAAATACCCTACACGGTACTTCTTAAAGCGTTTCTTCTTCTTCTATTTTATACTGAAAATTTCGTTTTGCTTCAAAATTTCATGTATAAAAATGACTTAATTGAATCTACGATTAATTCCTCTTAAAAATTCCGAGAAAGGTGTTGTTTCCCCTATACTATGATGATTACAATTTTACCACTTTTCAATGATGATGGTATTTTTGTAGTAGCGTACGAATTACACTCACAAGAGAACTTCGGTAACCCGAAAATTCCGATTTTTTTTTAAACTTTGTGGGTTTTTAGGGGACTTCAAGAGAAGTATCGGGCAACTTTTTTTTTTGGCCCAATTTTGGTTCTTCTGGGTGAAAACAGCCCTTGAATGAAGGTAGATGTTACCCTATTTCCCTGTATATCTTTAAAACTATAGTAGATATAAAAAAATGTTTATAATAAAAATTTAATGGTTTTTTATGCCTTATAAGCTGTGCCTTTTACATTAATGAAAATTGTTTTTTTAAATAAAAAATCTTGTGAAAAATTTTGAATTTTCTGTCATATCGAAAAATATGTCAAATAAATGTAGATTTTTAGCAGGACCAATCTGTTACTTTCTGTGTAAGTAGTTTATTTTCAGTAATTGTTCTTCTGTTGCTCTAGTAATTTTTCTTTTAGGTGATGCGAAAGGAGCATAAAGATTTTATGCGATTAACACACGTTATACGCTCTTTGTATTTTAACTTAAAATTTTTAATAAAACATTTTGTTTATAAATTTAATTATTGAGCCAATCCTGGCGGTACTGCAATACCAGGCCGACTCGCGACAGAGGTGGAGCAAGCTCCAACGACTCCGTCAATTTCCAAAAATCAGATTAATATTCTGACTCCCCAATGGGGAGTGTATCAGATATTAAGCTGATAAGAACAGATACTACACTTTGATCTTAGCCATAAGGCCGAGAAGCGATACCAATGTTAGTTTCAATAGCTCTTTTATTGTATACAATGCAAAAAGCACTTGCGAGAAACATATTTAACTTGTACATCACCTGGTGGTGTAACCTGAAACTAGAAATGGTAACGAAATAAGAATATTTATAACAAAATAGGTTATTTATAATATATGTATACAAAAATATATAAATTAATATTACAATTATGCATATATTTAGTAAATATGAAATAGCATACTTAATAAGTATGATGTATAGTAGTAATGCAGCAAAATTAATAGAAATATTATTCGACATTCATGCCTACTTATAATAATATGATTACATATAATAACGTAATTACGATATATAAATTGGAGATTAAATGTGTCTAATTTAAAAATAAATAGACAAGATTGTTCGTTTTTTGATTGGTTAACACTGCACTCTGTCAGTCTACCAACTAAAACATAAAATTCTCTACAGAAAAAAAGGGTGCGTTTGCAATAAGACTATATAGAGACATTTGTTTTTCATGGTATGCACATATTTGTCGACCAATGAGACAACAGCTTAAAAAATTTCAAACTTAAATTCGTCAACGGATACGCGTTAACCGATTGTAAGATCTTTCTATCTACGAGAAGTAAATATTTCAAAGAAATAATTGTGGAGCAGTTGCAACTTTTTTAACACTTAATACATGTATTGAAGGTGCATACAAATTTTGTGATATATGAAGTGAGTAATGTTTCTAAATTCCTTAATTATCCTTTTTTCTTGCAGATTATGTTTGAATATTCCTCTACTGGTAGCAGCTCGCTGTAATTGTTGCTTGACAGTCTAATTAATTAGAATTTTTTAACATAATGGACAGTTTTTGTGCTCCACAGTGGACAGACTTCATGTGCCCACAAACTCCTTCTGACAGTTATTTTGAAAGAGAACATGAGGAACATGAACGGCAACTGCAGTTCATTACTAACTTTAAGCTGTGCAAATCCTTACAGTATAAGGAAGAGAATTTAAATGAGCAACAGGTCAATGAAACAAACTTTGATGACAGTTTAGAACCAGAACCACCTGCATGTACTAATGTAGTGTATTTTATACCACATGACAATAAGAAACAGCCTGCAGAAGACATGAATTTAAACAATGCTGTGAAAAACTTAAAACTAGATGAAATGTCCAGTAAAATCCACCAAACATGGAGTATACCTGTAAGTGAGCTAACATCTGCCTTTAAGGTGTCAACAGCAAAACATAAATTTAGAACAGCTGCACCTGAGAAGATTAAAAATATGTCAAAAACAAAGAATACTGTTCTTGGTTTTTCCTCAAAGAATATTGTTAAAAAGAAAAACAATGTACAAATTGGTTTGACAAAGGATAAGAGCAAGTCAGTGGCAAAAACAAAGGCTGATAATTGTGTAAATAGTCTTTCTGAGGAAAGATTATCTTTCAAAATCGTATCTGCCTCCCCGAGAAAATTAAATTCGTTTAAAACGAAACAATGCTCCTTGGGTAAATCACAGCCTAAGGTGCTCACTTGTCAATATCGCAGGCGAAGTTTGATGAAGTACCGTAGGTGCTCAAACCAGTTTGTAAGTCTGGCAGAGGCTGTTTCAAAATATCAAAATGGTACACCTCAGAGATTCCGTACAATTAGTAATAAGGATTTAAAACCAGGTCCTCTAACGAAATTAAAACAATCTCCATTGAAGCTCACTTTTCCAGTTTCTCCTGCACTCAGATCTAAGCAGAGGAGGAGAAAGACTACTATTTTAAGTGAACAGGAGCGTGAAAAGTTAGAGCTTGAAGAAAGAAAGAAACACCAGGTCAAAGCAAATCCCATACCAATTAATATTTTAAAGGGTCCATCTGTGTTGAAGAAGGTGGCCAAGAAACCAACCACTATCACAGAGGAGTTCCATTTGACTCAGTCTAGGAAAACTCGTCACACAGCAAGTGTCCACCAGATGAATTTACAGCAGAATGATGAGGAACAGAAGCCTAAGAAAGTTTTGCCCATCACAAGATCCAGCAGTGCTTCGAATGTGACCATCAAAAAGGAAAATGCATACACAAAGTCTACTGTGGATAAGCCCAACAAATTTGGCTTTGAAATTCACAATAAGGAGTACCAGATAAAGAAAGAGGAGAAATTTAAGAATTTACATGTTCAAAACACCAACAAAGTAAAGTTTCATGCAAGGCCTGCACCCAATTTTTCCAAGCCAACTAATCCAGTTAAACAGCAGGTTACAAAGAAGAGAATAGTGGTTCCTTGTCCCTTCAGTTTTGAGGAGAGGAATAAGACTCTGGCCAAGAAAAAGGAGGAATTGGTTAAACAAATGCAGGAGCAGGCTAAGAAGGCACATGTATTTCATGCCAATCCTGTGCCAAGCTTCAAGCCAGTTTTGGTACATGGATTGTCTAAAGAAAATTTACGGAACAAGGACAAGACAGCAACCAGTTCTAAGGAACTTGTAACAAGACAGACCAAGAGTTACAATGACCAGGAGAACAGACAGCCTAACATTATGAACAACACTTCAATTTGCGTGAACCCAAAGAAAAAGGAAGTAATGCAACATATTGCAAATAATGAATCTGATGAGAAAAAAGTTAAAAATAATGTGGATATTGTAGATGCTAAAAATGAGAAACTGAAAACTTCTCAAAAGAAAATTTCCAAGTTTGAATTGAATACCGATAAGAGAGCTAAGGAGCGAAATGTATTCGATGACAAGATCAGGAAGAAGGAGTTGGATCTGGAGATGAAGAGGCAAGAACTCGAAAAAAGTAGATTATTGAAAGAGAAAATGGAGAGAGCAGAAATGCGAAAAATGGCAGAGGTGAAAGCCAGACCAATGCCAGTCTACAAACCTGTGGTTGTTTTGAAATCAACAAAGCTTCCAACCTGTCCACACAGTCCTGCATGGGGAAATAGACCCAAACCAAAAAGTATTTCTTAAA